TTGTTTTTATTTATCACATTTTTCAAACAAAATGGCGCCTTTGATTTTCAATGTGAAAATACACAGGGAGATAATAAGAACGGCGAGTGCATTGTTGTAGAATAATGCACGCTTCGGGCCTTCTTTGTTTATATAGAAACATTTCCGATAGTGTGATTAAAGGTAGTTTGCCTAATAAAATTCTTTAAAAAAACGGTGATAGGATAAATAGAATAATAGATTGGTGCCGTGGATGGAGAAAGTTTATCTGGCTCTGCTCCGGAATTTATTGGGTTCGCCTTCGGCTCACCCAATAAATTCCTCCGCCTCGCCAGATTAACTTTCTCCATCCACGGCACCAACCTATAAATTCTCTATTTATGTTTATTTTAAATTTTGTAGAATATTAAGCTTTACTGTAATATTAAGTCTGTTAATAAAGTATAAAAGCAAAAGAGAATATTTTTACCTTAGTGCAGTTATTGGTTAACTCTTTATTATACCCCAAAAACGAAGTTGGCGGGTATATAGGAGTCACCCGGTGGTCGGTTGGTTGGTCGGTCCAGCGGTCCGTTGCATTTTCCTTGTCCGGAGCATAACTTGAAAACTAATGGTTGGAAGTCAATATAACTTAATACATTGGTCAAGCAAATTGAGAGAAAGTGCAGTGCACAAGAACCATAACTCCATCTTGACTAATTACAGAGTTACTGCCCCTTGTTACTTTTCCTTGTCCAGAGCATAACTTAAAAAACTACTGGTTGGAATTCAAAACAACTCCATACAATTGTCAAGCACAATAAGGGGAAGTGCAGTTCACAAGAACCATAACTGTATCTAAAGTAATTACAGAGTTATTGCCCTTTGTTACTTTTCCATTGCTTTCTTTTGTCCGGACCATAACTTGAAGACTAATGGTTGGAATTCAATATAACATCATAGAATGGTCAAGCACATTGAGAGGAAGTGCAGTGCACAAGAACCATAACACCATTTTGACAAATTACCGAGTTATTGCCCTTTGATACTTTTCGTTGTCCAGAGCATAACTTAAAACGTACTGGTTGGAATTCAAAAAAACTTGATACAATGATCAAGCACCATAAGAGGAAGTGCAGTGCACAAGAACTATAACTCTGTTCAGAGAAATTATAAGAGTTATTGCCCTTTGTTGATTTTCCATTGCTTTTTTCTTGTCCAGAGCATAACTTGAAAACTACTAGTTGGAATTCAATACTATTTCATACAATGGTCAAGTATATTGAAAGGAAGCACTGTGTACAGAAATCATAACTCTTTCTGGACTTATCTAAAAGATTTTGCCCTTTGTTACTTTTCATTGTCCAGTGCATGATTTGAAGATTAATGGTTGGAATTCAATGAAACTTCATACAATGGTCAAGGGCAGTGAGATGAAGTGCAGTACACAAGAACCATAACTCTATTTTGACTAATTACAGTTATTGCCCTTTGTTACTTTTTTGTCCTGTGCATAACTTGAAGACTTGTAGTTGGAATTCAATACAACTTCATACAATGGTCAAGTGCAATGAGAGGAAGTGCAGTGTTCAATAACCATAACTCCATCTTCAGTATTTATAGAGTTATTGCCCCTTTTTTCCTTGTCCTTGTCTTTCTGGACTTATTGCAGAGTAATTCAATTAAACTTCATCAATGGCCAACCACATTGAAAGGAAATGCAATATACAAGAACCACAACTATCTTTAATTGCCCACAACCATAAATGTATTTCAATTGTTTTACAAGGTATTCTGTTACTAGAAACATCCTCATTTCCGAAGCAGTCTTGCGGGGGTATTAATCAGATTTAGTGATAGTACTAGTTGAATTTTTATAAGAGTTTACCCATTACTAAGATGAAATTATATAGAACTATGAGGTTAATGCAGTTTAAATTTGCCAGAGAAACAATTTGCAACAAATGAATAATGATTCAAAATTGTTACGCATAAAGTTGTATTCTTAAATATATTTCAGCAATACAATCTTTTCGCTAGCTCTTATTTTTGTGGGAAGGAAACAAAAACTATTTCTATTTTAAGCCTCACTGTAAAATGTACAGAAGTAGGTTATTTGTGCTTTTTAAGTAAATGCAACACGTAAATACCATAACTTCAGTAAAATAATTATAAAATTTATCAAAAACCATTTCTTTTCCATTTGCTTTTATATAATATGCAGTTTAAACACACTTTGTCTTGCATAAAAGGATTTTAAAATAACTTGGCACAAATGTCTACCACATCAAGACAATGTGTCGCGGCTAAGGCTCATGTCCGTCTGTCTGTGTGTCCCCACTTACACAACAATCATGTCCAGACTGTAACTTTATCATACATTGAGGAATTTTGAAATAATTTGGCACAGATATTTATCTCAAAACAACATTTTGTTGTGTCCAGGAACTTGGTCCCTTCTTCAAAAGTCAAGGGCACACTATTTTGAAGCATCAGGCTATCACAATTAGAGATTACAGGTACAATAATGCAAAGAACAATATTCAGCAATTAGTTACTTTCATTCTCTGTTCTTTTCATAATACCTACATGCTTAAGAAACCTTTTTGAGGCATTCGTCACTTTGGTGACAGCTCTTGTTTCTGTCATAATTATTTTTTCAATTTTAATGAAAAAAAATAGGTTATTGTTTTAAGATAAATCTCACAAAGAGTGGAAAAAAGTCAAGCTACTCTTTATTGAAATTTTGTACATTGACTTAAACAGAAGTAAACTATATAAATTAAGCAAAAAGTAGGTATTGTGCTCTTTATATAAGCAAACAAGTCTAATTTTGTAGCAGATAACTCAATAACAAGGATGGTGGCCCCCATTTTTATAACCCCCACAAAGAAGGGGGTATATAGCAGTCCGCTTGTTGGTCGGTCTGTCGTCTGTCGGTCGGTCCACATCATGGTTTATGGACGATAACTAGAGTTTGGAATAAGGTATTGTAATCAAAACTTGGTGTATAGCAAGCTTATATGCCAGACCGGTCACCCAGGCTGGTATTGCATTTGGATCCCTGGGGTCAAGATCACCATGACTAAAAATAGAAAAATGGTTTCCGGACATAAACTAGAGTTGTGAATGGAATATTTTAACCAACTTTGGTGTATAGCATCTTATATGAAGATCTCGGTTGGTAATGCATTTCGACCCCCTGGGGTCGAGGTCAAGGTCATCGTTACTAAAAATAGAAAAATGGTTTCCGGACAATAACTAGAGTTAGGAATGAGATATTGGAATCAAACTTGATGTAAAGCAAGCTTATTTGAAAACACCGGTTGTGATTTCAATTAATTGAAATAATTCTTTGTACACTTTACTATTGGTTGAGTTCAAATATTTTTTTCAGACCACTTAATTTTCAAAAAGTCAAAGTTGCTGATGGGGGTTTTACTCATCTTCAGTGATGGTTCCAGTTTAGCTTTATCATAGCCTAAGAACATGCCAAGTTTTAAGGAATTCTATTGTACAGTTATAATTTTGCCTATATATGTATAAAAGTCCTAAAACGTCTTTAAAGATAACTTTGATCTGTAACTGAGCTTGACTATCTACAATTCCTTTTAACAACATATGGGCCAAAACAACAAAATAGATTTTGAACAACCTTTACAGAAGTGATCCCCTTATAGTCCTCTCTAAAAGTAAAATTAATCATGCCCCTTTGAAATCAATGGCCTATCCTTAGGCTACATGGCTAAAGTGAAACATATTTAGTGTGAAGCATTGCCTAAGTTATGAAAATCATTTTATTACGTCATACACTCCTCGGTTCTCAAATGAGATGCGCGCGCATAATCAGTGGTGATAAATCAGTGCGTAGCAAAATCTTGTCGAGGTCGGACGTGGTCTGACACTCTGGTGATAAATTATTGCACTAACTTTTTATTTAGTAGCTACGAGGTAGTTACGATTGAATAAATTACTACGTGGTAGTAATTATATAAAAGCAATTTACAATAATTTATTTTGTGATAAACACAATATAATTATATTCTTTCGTTAAATATTTATTTCTATAAATATTTTCGTTTAAATTTGACTGTGTCGCCATTTTAAGTTGTCGGTAACTTAATTTATCGATAATAATATAGGTACCCGTCTCGCACGTGTGTCAGTAAAGTACCCGTATTACATGTGTTAGAATGGCGGACGCAATGTTGCCAAAAACGAAAGAAAACGACGGTAAAGTCCCAAACCCAAAGCCTCAGTCGTCAAAATCTGTTGAGGGAAATAAAGGTCCTTCGGGTAAAGGCCCTATGAGTGGGAAGAAGACGTCTAGTAAACCGTCTGTTGCGAGTACATCGCAAAGTTGTTCCCAAGGTTCTGCTTCCATGCCTTCTACCGGCACCGGTCCGGATGTAAATTTAGTGACTTTCACGCAAGAAATTGTAGGTATAATGAGAGAAATGAGGGATAATCAGAATCAACTGTCGCAGAGAGTTGAAACAATTGCCGAACGTGTTGACAGTTTAACCTATGATTTTGGCCAGTGTGGGCCTAGTTATGAGCCTAGTCAGGCTAGTGATGATGATGATAATTGTCAGCTATTTTCTGATAAGTCCCAAGATGATTGTTCCTTGTCCGGTTATTCTCAGTCACAGCAGGTTCATGATGTTGCTGAACAGGGTCTGTTTAAAGGGTTATTAAACAAGTTCAAACAGACAGAACAGGTTGATAATGAAGTGCATGGGGATTTGGCAAATTTTATAAATGAAAGCTTCCGAGGTGGAATGTCAGATGAGGCATACACTAGTTTAAGTAAAGACATCCATAGGCCGTCAAATTGTATGAGTCTTACCAAAACCACTGTTAATCCTCAAATTTGGTCTTACATGAAACCATGGACACAAACAGCGGATGTAAAAATGCAAGCTATTCAAGTGGCAGTTGTAAAGGCAGCTATTAATTTCACTAAAATGATGGATAAAATTGCCAACTCTGTGGACAGTGATATATTAGAGTTTGGTTCAGATGCCTTAGGTATACTAGGACATGCACACAAGTTAATAAAATGTGCGTCGTAAAGAAATGCATCAGGCGGATTTAGACAATAGGTATAAACAGTTATGTTCTGCCAATGTTCCTTTTACTGACAAACTATACGGTGATGATGTATGTAAAAATGTCAAAGAGATTCAAGATATGAGTCGTGTTGGGAAACAGTTGTCTGTACTGTCAAGATTTAAGGGTCCGAGAAGAGGCCGTCCATATCCCTCAGGGCCTTATGGCAATTTCCGAGGAAGAGGCCGTGGTCGTGGTGGACGTTACCAACCATTGACGAGTAGTTATACTCAAGCGCCAAAAAAACCCCAAGATGGGAGTCGGCAAACGTTAAATTTAGAGGTAAGTACTTCTTCTTCTAAGTTTGAGGCAGGTAGACTAAAAAAGTTTGAACAAAATTGGAGAAATATAACTTCTGATCCGAAAATCTTAGATATAGCTCTTCATTGCCATTTTGAAATAAACGATGACTATAAACTTGAAAAAAAACATTTATTATTGGATCAAAATTTTCTGAGTCGGAAAGTATTATTGTTGATAAAGAAATAAAGAAATTGCTAGAGTTAAAAAGTTATCAAGTTAGTACACCACGAAGAAGGTGAATTTATATCCCAATTTTTACCAGACCAAAAAAGGATTCTGGTGAATATCGTGTTATATTAAATTTGAAAAAATTGAATAAATATGTATCATGTCATCATTTTAAGATGGATTGTTTTTGAATCAACATTAACATTAGTTACAAAAGGTTGTTATATGGCATCTTTGGACATCCGTCATGCTTATTATTCTGTTCCTATTGCTGAAGAACAGCAGAAATTACTTAGATTTATTTGGAAAGATAATCTGTTTCAGTATACCTGCCTCCCTAATGGCATTTTGTTGTGCTCCCTTATTATTTACAAAGTTGTTAAAACCTGTTTATGCAACTCTAAGGAAGCAAGGTCACAAAAATAGTGGATATATTGATGATTCTTTATTAGTTGCTGACAGTTTTCAGGGCTGTAAAAATAATATAGATGATACAATAAAATTATTTGATTAATTGGGATTCATTAAACATCAAGAGAAATCTGTACTAATTCCAACAAAGAAAATAACTTTTTTAGGCAATGATATCAATTCTGAAGACATGACTGTCACCTTACCACAGGACAAAGCCAAAAAGTTGATTCATGCTTGCTTAGAGTTGCATAACAAAAATGTATGTTCAATAAGAAAAGTTGCCCAAGTCTTGGGGTTAATGGTATCAACTTTTTCCGCAGTAGAATATGGACCACTTTTTTATAGAAATATTGAACGAGAGAAAATAGAAGCATTAAAAAGGGCGAATGGTGATTTTGATTTACAAATGAATGTCTCGTATGCCATGAAGCAAGATCTTTCTTGGTGGATTGAAAATTTGTATTCTCAAAAGAGATGTATAGATCATGGAAACCCTGAAATAATTATAACTACAGACTCCTCGTTAATTGGATGGGGTGCTGAATGTTCAGATGAAAAAATTCAAGGAAAATGGCTCGTTGAAGAGTCTTGCAAACATATCAATTACTTGGAATTAAAAGCTATTTATTTTGCTGTAAAACTATTTTGTAAAAACACAAAAAACACTCATGTTCAAATAAGGTGTGATAATACTTCAGCAATTTCTTACTTAAATGCAAAAGGAGGAATCAAATCATATGACTTAAATGACTTGTCAAAAACTATTTGGTTATGGTGTATAGAAAGAGATATTTGGTTATCAGCAACTTATGTTCCTGGAAAAGAGAATATTGCTGATCAAAGTTCACGTATCTTCAATGACAATGTAGAGTGGACTCTTGATAAGTCTGTTTTTCAAAAGATTATATCTATTTGGGGAATTCCGGAGATTGATATGTTTGCATCTAGAACAAACAGACAATTACAGAGATTTGCTTCATGGCATCCAGACCCAGAGGCTGAATTTATAGATGCTTTTAAAACCAGTTGGTCTAATACATACTTTTATGCTTTTCCCCCTTTCAGTTTGGTAGGCAGATGTCTGCAGAAGGTACTGCACGACAGAGCAGACTGTGTTTTAATAGCTCCAGCGTGGGAAACGCAGAATTTTTATCCAGTACTGATGAATATGTTGATAGACAACCCGGTTATGCTTCCACAAGGGAACATTTTATCCATAGTGAACACCAACAAAGTACATCCGTTAATGAAGAAATTACGTCTGATAGCTTGTCGGCTTTCAGGAGATCTTTCCAAAGTAAGAACATATCAGTTAAGTCTACCAATATCATACTTGCATCATGGAGAAAAGATACGAAAAAACAATATGTGTCTTATATCAATCGTTGGACCAGATTCTGTAATGACAGACAGATTAATTCAGTTCAAACAGATTTAAATTTTGTCTTAGATTTTCTTACAAGTCTCTATGACAGTGGATGTGGTTATAGTGCTATTAATACAGCACGAAGTGCTCTTTCAGCTATAGGTATTGTTAAAGATGGGTTTTCCATTGGATCTCATCCAATAGTAATCAGATATATGAAAGGTATTTTTAACCTTCGACCTTCAGTTCCAAAATATTGTGAAACATGGGATGTATCGTCAGTTTTAGCCTATTTGAGGAAATTGTCACCTGTTAGCAAACTTTCATTGAAGCTTTTGACTCTAAAATTATGTATGTTAATCGCATTGACTTTGGCAAGCCGGGTTCAGTCTATATATTTACTTGATATAAAAGACATGAGGAAATGTTCTTCATCATATATTTTACAATATAGTGGGCTATTAAAACAGTGTCGTGCTGGGTTAAGTAACCCTGTTGCTGAATTGAAATCTTATCCTCCAGATAGGAGATTATGTGTTGTTTTTGTGCTTAACCCTTTCCCCCATGAGCATATTGTGAAAAATGGCCATTTTCACTGAAAAGCCTCCTGTTACAAGTTCAAACTGCTATGAAACTATGAAAAATGCTTCAATACTAATCAAACTTGGCACAAATGTTGACTGGACCATTGCCTTTGTAACGACCTGCTCAGTCTTAAATTTCCTGTTACCATGGCAACGAGGGGGCATCTCAAAATTGCCAAAAATCACTTTTTTGCCTCGATTTTAACCATCAAAATTTATTTCAAAGTGCTGCAACTTCTCAAGGGATTGAGATAGAGTCAAAGGCTTTTCGGGGTTGGTTGCACGTTACCATATGATCGACCTGGGGTCAATTTAAGCCTCTCACAAGTCCAAAATTTTTTGCCCTCCCCTTCTCCCTCCCTTATTATTTGATTGTTTTGATAATGGAATTTTTAGCAAAGCTAGATTTTTTACTTTGAAGACTGATTTATCACCACTGATTATGCGCGCGCATCTCATTTGATCCCCTTCGAAGTGTATGACTACATAAAATCCCAACCAAACTTCAACTTAACCAAGGTAAGTCTCGTTTATTTGTGGGATTATACTGTAACTTACAGCATTTCTTAAAATAGCAACACTTGTTTTTCAGTTTTTAAATATTAAGTAGTTGTATAATTTGTTTGTTTGTTTTATTGGATTAAATTTACGGTAGTAGAAATGAGTATCTGTGTGGGAAAGGGATTATGACAAGAAATGCGGTAAGTAGATAACATGGACAAAAGCTATAGGGGAATGGATAAACTCATGAATATGCGTAATTACAGGAGCATGGGTAACATGTTGCTGTTGGTACCAGTTTTGACTGGATGACTAAATAACCCAGCAGACAGTTTTGTTTTCTTATAAGTCTGGCACAGATTTTAGATGCGCCCATGGCCCTTTGCAGCCGATTTGCCTGCGCCATTCTCATTTTTTTAGCGCCAATGGCGCAAAATCGCGTCCTCGGCAGATCTCTGTAAGGGCAATATTATACTCTGATCAAAATGACTTAAAATCTATAATTTGTTGTTCAAATCAGGGACAAGAGATGTAAATCCAATGTTCCTTCTCAAATCTTACACCAAATAACTGATACATTTTTAGTGAATTACATGTACTGAGATTTGTTGGCATAAATAGTAAAAGTTTTTGTGACATTTGCTCTGTTCCATGTCTGACAAATAAGTTTATAGAATTTATGACTAACACATTTAGGTCCTGTTCAAGCTTTTAACTTCAAAATAAGAATCAATTTTAGGATCAGGATCAATATTTGGATCAACTGTAAAATTCCCTTTTCTTACAAAAATAACAATAAATTTATCTAAAATTTCATAAACTTGCCATCGCAAACCTAACTTCATCAAATTAATATTTGATATATAATCTATGAGGATAAACAATGAAGAATATTAGTTTTTAATTTGATCCTGATCCTTAAATTTTTGTGAACACTCAGCCTGTTTTGATTTTGTAAACATAAACTGTACATTGATGTATATATGTACATGTGAAACTGTAAGCTCTATTGAAATCTTGTTAGTGCCATGTCTGCAGCTTGACAGGCAACACACAATTTGCTTATTTTTATTTAATCATTTAATGCCAGGTGAGTATTCACATAATTGGCAAGTCATTTTAAAATGCCCTTCTGTTCAATGAAAGCGTTAATCCCTAAAAAATGAAACACAATGATTGGCATCTGGCACATGATATTTTATTATTGAATAAGAGTGATTTTTATGCAGTAATTTTCTAATATTTTTCTCCTGTCATCAATTAATGCCCGACATAACTGTATTGGTCCAGTATTTTAAAATGAATTGCCGGATTTGGTGTTTCATTAAGTTTAAAATGAATTAAAAAACAGTATTTAAGGCAAAACTGCACTTTTTTTCCCAATTAATCAGAATTTAATAGTGTGAGAAATTTTATATAGTTTTTTTTTCAAATTATGCCTTTACATTTGGTCTTCTGTAATAGTTTTTACCATGCAACTGCTGTGGTAACTGCCCGATAACACTTGCCTGATAATTATTTTTGATATCAGGTCAGTAACCTGATATCAAAAATAAGCCCCGCCCATTTTAACGGACTTTTTTCAATTGCTTATATTCTTATTTTCATCAGCATGTGAATTCTACAATGTAATCTCATACCCTTACAAGTCTTGAATCAAGATGCGAGATTTTTTATTAATTATAATTAATATAAATTAGATAGCGAATAGTTTTAGCACCAACTAAATGAAGTGACGTCATAATTTATATTGCAAATGACATCATCGATGTCCACGTCATACTATACATGTAATCATAACAAACAGGCTGGAGATTTTCTTTGAGAACTTGTAACTGTTTACTTTATTTCGCCGGATTATTATTTAATAAGTGAACAAATTGTTTTGTTTAAAAAATAAGACGCATGTTTGTGTAGCTTGTGTTTGATTGCCGATTTGACTTTTCTTTGATGAACTTTTGAATTTGCACAATTCAAGACAAATATTGCAGTAAAGTTTAGTTTTTGCGATTCTAAGTGAATTTTTGGATCGATGTTTAAATTAAAGGTAAGAATTTTATCGTATTAGGCCTACATTCTGTTGCATCTTTTATCCGAGTCGAAAGAAAAAATGGCGGCCATTTACAAATTCTAAGTTTCAGGGGCGGAGGAATTTGTTTTCAAGAATTATTTCTTTGAACAAAAATCCCCCTTTTTAACGAAATTCGCTATTTAAAAGTAGATTATTTTGTTATTTTGACAGTTATTATGTGATACATGATAAATAGAAAAACATGCTACTGTCTTTTGATATCAATTTTATCAGGCTCAGCTGATATGGGCAGAAAGGGCTCGGCAAGCCTCGCCCTTTCTAGCCCATATCAGCCTCGCCTGATAAAATTGATATCAAAAGACAGTAGCATGTTATTCTCTATTAAACTGCCAAAATATGGCCTAGAATGCAGGAAATCAAGTGCTTAATTTCAAAATGTTCCGGGGGGGGGGGGATGGGGGCATGCCCCCGAAACCCCCCTAGGAGGCCTGCTAGAATTCAAATTTGGCCTGCTGAGCTGAAAGTTCAGGTCTGAAAGGTCATTGATTTTCCCTATATGCATATAGTAAAAACTTAAAAAATCTTCTTTTAAAGAACCCAAAGAGCTAGAGCTAAGATATTTAGCATGAAACATGTTCTAATGGGTGTCTACCAAGTTTGTTCAAATAAAAGCCTTGGGGTGAAAATTGGCCCCGCCCAGGGGGTCATTGATTTTCCTTATATGCATATAGTAAAAACTTAAAAATCTTCTTTTAAAGGACTCAAACAGCTAGAGCTTAGATATTTGGCATGAAACATCTTCTAGTGTGTGTCTACCAAGTTTGTTCAAATAAAAGCCCTGGGGTCAAAATTGGCCCCGCCCCGGGGGGTCATTGATTTTCCCTATATGCATATAGTAAAAACTTGAAAATCTTCTTTTAAAGAACCCAAAGAGCTGGAGCTAAGATATTTAGCATGAAACATGTTCTAATAGGTGTCTACCAAGTTTGTTCAAATACAAGCCCAGGGGTGAAAATTGGCCCCGCCCCGGGGGTCATTGATTTTCTTTATATGTGTTTAGCAAAAACTTTAAATCTTCTTTGAAAAAACCCAAATAGCTAGAGTTTAGATATTAAGCATGAAACATCTTCTAGTAAGTGTCTACAAAGTTGTTCAAATTAAAGGCCTGGGGTCAAAACTGGCCCGGCCCCAGGGATGTCATTGTTTTTAACTATATGTGTATAGTAAAAACTAAAAAAAATCTGCTTTTAAAAAGCCCAATGACCCTTGCAGAAATTACTGGTAATTTACCAGGATTTTACTAGGATTTTACTGGGAAATCCCAGGAATATTTACAGGGATAATTCCTAGGAAATGCAAGGAAATCTGAGGAATTTCCAGTTACTGGCTGGCGGTAATTGGAACGACTGAAAACTACTGGTAATAACTAGAAAAAAAATGTGAATCCAGGAATGCCTTAGATTGACTTGTACTGGATATCCTAATTACTGAGAATGACCTGCCCACGGTATTTGGAACATTTTTCTAGTCCATCCCAGGCATTTCAAGGCATTTCAAAGACCTATGATAATACCAGTAACTCCTGGTATTTTTACAATCTTAGGAATGACTGAGAATGACTTGCCCACGGTATTTGGAACATTTTTTCTAGTAATTCCTTGGCAATTCAAAGAACTTGGATATCCCAGACGTTCCTGGTATTTCCATGATCTAAGGAATGGCTGGAATAGCCTAGGATTGCATTGTACTGGAAATTCCTAGCAACTGCCCGTATGACTGGACCACAGCTGAATTACTGTTACTAGGGCCACCAAAGGATCATTATGATTAAAATCAAATTATCAGTTTTGTAGAAGATATCATTACAAGAAATTGCTGACAATACAAGATGCCATTGGACACAGGGCAATCACATTACTTCACATAAGCACATTGTACTGATGTGAACTAAAATGTGCACTTTTAAATCCAGTTAAATGACAAGCAGTTCAACATCAGTCATAAGCAAACTATGAAATTTAATAAAAAGCATGATTGCATATGAAACAAAGTATTTTCCTTACAGTTTAATTGTTTTTGTATTGTTTAGACACACTTCTTTAGATATATCATTGTAGTTACTGGAATGCAATGAGCTTTGGCAAATAATTAACACTTGACTTGAGATTCCTTTTTTAAAAAAGTGTAACATGTGACACCTCTTTGAATTTAGCACTAAGTTAAAACATTATAATACTTGACTAGGTCACTCCTAGATTTTAATTTGCTTTTCATCATTTTCTTAACTGATTGAATGAGGGACATCACTTAAACAGTCTAAGAAATGTCACTGAAATAGTACAAAACATGACACAAGAAACCTCCAGTATTACATGCAACTCCTACATTTTCTATTGCTGTCTTCTGAAATGAGTAAATCCTTGCTGTAAGATCCAATTTTTGCCGGTTTAATAATTTTCTTGTCATCAAATCTTTCATACAGAGAATCTCAGTAATCCAGTGAATTGATGATCTCTGGTAATCAAATGAAATGTTGATCTTTGGTAATCCAACGACTTCTTTGCATTTTCACAGATAATTTATACACACAACAGATAGGAAGCTCTAAAAATAGATAATAGTCAGATTCAGACCCACAATCCTTTGCAGGCTTCGGTGATAATTGGGTTTTCCCGATAGTCTCCAATTTTCGCACTCTCGTTAAACTTGAACGATATCCATGAATTATTGTTTACATACCCCTACATAGATTTTCATCAGAGAAATATTTGTATAGAAAAGTGTGTATAGTACCTTTTAC